TCTGGGGGGAGTCAGTTGAGCAGAGTTTTTCAAATGGGTTGAGGCGTCTAGTGTATTCTTTTTTTTTTTTTTTTTTTTTTTCAGTTCATGAAAAGGTTTTGTGAATCTGTTCATAATTGCATCTACTTAAAAGTTTGCTGTCACACAGGGCCTCTGAATTACAACTGTCCTCTACAAAGTATCGGGAAGGCAATTTGTATTGGAGGCTTACTGGTACTTGAGGTCAAATAGCATACAATATACAGTATTAAGCAAAATGACTCCTTGAATTACTATATTCCCCCGAAGATGAGCAGTACTAGGGTTACAGTGGCAAAGAGGAGAAAATGTCAGCATTGAGAGGAAAGTGAAAATTGTATATCTGGTACCGAACTCTAAAACTTTACCACTTATTAAAATGAGTTGTTTCCTAAGTTTGTTCCCTGACTGGGGTAATGTTTTCATAACCTTAGTTGAAAACTAACAAGAACTTGTGTAGTCAAGTCCAAGTAAAAGCGCATTACAGAAGTAAATGTAAAATAAAGCATCAGGAAAGTAACATATGCTTCAGATCCCCTATTTAAAAAGGTGTAAAAGTTCATTCAGATTGAATATTTGCTATGTTGTAATTTTATAATCTAGTAAAATGTCACATACTTGGTGGTAACTATATTGTAGGTTGTGTCATAACGCCCTACCTTCTTGTAAAAGGCCATTTTTGCTGTTATGCTGTCTCCTACTATAATTGAGGATGTCTGAGCTGCTGTGTTAATTGTAATAACAAAAACAAACTGGAAATTCTACCAAGAATCCTGTACCTTGCAACTGCTCTGTTTACCCTACAAATAAGAAGTTGACAGTACAGACTGTGCCAGCAGAGTCATAATTTAAAATTTGGCTGTGCTTCATAATATCGAAGTGAAATGAATGACACACAGGTGCTTCCATCTTTTGTTGTGATTTTGGAATGTGTCTTTCTCTCTCTTTTTTTATTTGTAAAATTACATACATTTGAGCACATTTTATAATATAATCTAGAAAGCATAGCTAGTGCTCCCTTGAACTTGCAACTTTTTGCCATTGAGTTTGTGGAAAAGGCTGGCAGAAGGCATTGCACAATGCTCACAAACGAGTTTTCAAGTCCCTCCAACAATACACAGACACTGCTGGGAGGACCTGATGACAGATTTGGGACCAGTGCCATAAATTAACTTCAGAATTGGATAACGAATGTGCTATGTCTGTCATACATGGAAGAGTGTATTTTTAATGACCATACATATTGCATTATTATGTTTTTGATATCACTGTCATATTTTTACATCGTAGCTGTTACATATTATTACGGTAGTATGCCATATAAGGATTTTTAGATGCTTCATCTATGAGTGTGATTTCAACAGTATGACAAGAGAACAACTGCTGATTACAGGATAAGACCTGTAGAGAGTCTTTTGTAGTTAAGTAGCCAAATTTGCACCAAGCTATAGAAGGAAACTAAAGTACAGCTACTTGAAAGAAGAGCCAGCATATACAATGCACAAATATGGCTGCATTCATGTGTCTGCATATTGTAGGCTATTCACAGACAAGTTCTGTTTTATAACATAAACAATAATTATACTTTTAGATAAATATGGCTTAAGAGCTCTGTTTGTTCATCCAATTGATTGTCTACCCCTACAAAGACCTTAGATCATCACACTACACTTTTTCAAATATCAGGGCCTTCAGTGATATGAGTGGCATTTAAATTTTTTGTGTGAGACATCTGGCTGGTGGTGCTGAACCTGTGCTGATTTCTGGTGATAGAGAGTCCATTTCTTTGCAAGCCTTCATTGAAAACATTCAGTCTTGTAAATGGTTTAATGGATGAGAAGACTGTCAAACATTTATTAAAAAACAAAGTGCATGTTAGCCTTGTTCATTAGCCTCTTAACCCCTTGCCTATCAGGCACTTTTACCCCCTTCCTGCCCAGACCAATTTTTCAGCTTTCAGCGCTCTCATACTTTGGGTACAGTGTTGCATGACCGTGCAATTGTCATTCAAACTAGTTTTTATAATTTTTTGGAGACAAATAGAGTTTTCTTTTGGTGGTATTTGATAATCACTGGGGTTTTTATTTTTTTCTAAACAAACTAAAAAAAGACCAAATATTTTGAAAAAAAAAATAATTTTTCTCCTTCACTTATGGGCACTGATAGGCTGTACTGATGGGCACTGATGAGGAGTCACTGATGGGCATTGATAGGCAGCACTAATGGGCACTGATGAGGCAGCACTGATGGGCACTGTTAGGCGGCACTGATGGGCACTGTTAGGTCACACTGATGGGCAATGTTAGGCGGCACTATTGGTCATTGTTAGGCGGCACTGATGGGCAGCACTGATTCAGCTGATGGGCACTGATAGGGGACACTGATTCAACTGATGGGCACTGATTGCCAGCACAGATGGGCACTGATGGGCATTACTGACCGCACTGATGGGGCTACACTGCTCACTTGGACACTAATGATCAGTGCCCTGATGATCAGTGTAGATGTCTCACTGCAAAATGTTGCTTACTGGCTCTCCTCACGCACTGTCAGCATGAGGAGAGGACTGCCGATAACCGACATTTCCTATTTACCTGGTGATCGGCTGTGATTGGACACAGCTGGTCACATGGTAAAAGTGTCTGTGATTGGCCTGTTCCTTAGTCATGTGATCAGCTGTGTCTAAAGGAGACAGCAATCACAGATCATGAACAGGGAGTGTGGTTCTGGGAGGACGTCCATGGACACCCTCCCAGAACTAGCTGACCGCGCTGTAGTCATCTTTTGGCTATAGCGCGGTTGGGAACTGGTTAAATACACTGTTGTATTGTAGATTGTGGGGTTGATTTACTAAAACTGGAGAGTGCAAAGCAGCTCTGCATAGAAACCAATCGGCTTCCAGGTTTTATCATTAAAGCTTAAAGTTAGAAGCTGATTGGCTACCATGCACAGCTGTGCCCGATTTTGCACCCTCCAGTTTTTTAGTAAATCAATCCCTGTGTTTGATTTATTGCCAAGAAGGATGAGATTGTCACCCAAGTTTGATTATGGGGAAAAAAAGGAAAGGAAAATTGATGCATTTGGAATAAAAGGATAAAAGAACAAAATGCTAATCTAGCTTGAAAAGCCTGGTTCCTTGACCCCTGGTTCACATATATGCGGCCGTGCGTGCCGTGTTTTGTATGTGCACGAGAGCCCATTCATTTGAATGGACTCCCGTACCCCGTGACACGCAGGGAAGAAGTCCCTGCACTTCTGAAAATGCAGCATGCATGAGAACCTCGGTTCCCAGTACAGTTGCGTTTTCCAGTGCAGGAGGCATGCCAATAAAACTAATTGCACCCACCCGTGGGTCCGCATTCCTCCGTACGGGTGGTGCAGCTGCACCCGTACATATGTGAACCTAGCCTAAAGGTTAGTGAATCTGCCCATTAGTTTATTGCCTTCAGCTGTACTCCTGTCCACCTTGCCAAAAGGTGTTTTTTTTTTTTTTTTTTTTTGGGGGGGGGGAGGTTTGGTTTTTTTAAACTTTAGTTTCTGTAGTTTTAACATAACACTGCAGGAATTTTTTTATATAAAATATACATAAAATATATGAATTCACCAGAATTGTCCACCTCTTTCAGCTGTTCTTGGTACTCTTTGCACTGGCAGTATGTGCTAAGGCAGGGGTCCTCAAACTTTTTAAACGGGGCCAGTTCACTGTCCCTCAGACCGTTGGAGGGCCGGACTATAGTTTAAAAAAATAAATAAAACTATGAACAAATGCGGACACAGTACAGGAGATGACCAGAGACTGCAGACACAGTACAGGAGATGACCAGAGACTGCGGACACAGTACAGGAGATGACCAGAGATTGCGGACACAGTACAGGAGATGACCAGAGACTGCGGACACAGTACAGGGGATGACCAGAGACTGCGGACACAGTACAGGAGATGACCAGAGACTGCGGACATAGTACAGGGAATGACCAGAGACTGCGGACACAGTACAGGGAATGACCAGAGACTGCGGACACAGTACAGGGGATGACCAGAGACTGCAGACACAGTACAGGAGATGACCAGAGACTGCGGACACAGTACAGGGGATGACCAGAGACTGCGGACACAGTACAGGGGATGACCAGAGACTGCGGACACAGTACAGGGGATGACCAGAGACTGCGGACACAGTACAGGGGATGACCAGAGACTGCGGACACAGTACAGGGGATGACCAGAGACTGCGGACACAGTACAGGGGATGACCAGAGACTGCGGACACAGTACAGGGGATGACCAGAGACTGCGGACACAGTACAGGGGATGACCAGAGACTGCAGACACAGTACAGGAGATGACCAGAGATTGCGGACATAGTACAGATGACCAGAGACTGCGGACACAGTACAGGAGATGACCAGAGACTGCGGACACAGTACAGGAGATGACCAGAGACTGCGGACACAGTACAGGAGATGACCAGAGACTGCGGACGGACACAGTACAGGAGATGACCAGAGACTGCGGACACAGTACAGGAGATGACCAGAGACTGCGGACACAGTACAGGAGATGACCAGAGACTGCGGACACAGTACAGGAGATGACCAGAGACTGCGGACACAGTACAGGAGATGACCAGAGACTGCGGACACAGTACAGGAGATGACCAGAGACTGTGGACATACAACGGCGTCGGGAATACTGGGCCGGCCGCTCCATAAGACGCACAGACATTTCCCCCCAAGTGTGTCTTATGGAGCGAAATAGTGCCCCATCATTGGTGTCAGTGGGAGGAATAGTGCCCCATCATTGGTGTCAATGGGGAGAAATGTGCCCCATCATTGGTGTCAGTGGGGAGAAACGTGCCCCATCATTGGTGTTAGTGGGAGGAATAGTGCCCCATCATTGGGGTTAGTGGGAAGAATCGTGCCCCATCGTTGGTGTCAGTGGGAGGAATAGTGCCCATCATTGGTGTCAGTGGGAGGAATAGTGCCCCATCATTGGTGTCAGTGGGAGGAATAGTGCCCCATCATTGGTGTCAGTGGGAGGAATAGTGCCCCATCATTGGTGTCAGTGGGAAGAATCGTGCCCCATCATTAGTGTCAGTGGGAGGAAAAGTGCCCCATCATTGGTGTCAGTGGGAAGAAACGTGCCCCATCATTGGTGTCAGTATAGGAATAGTGCCCCATCATTGGTGTCAGTGGGAAGAATCGTGCCCCATCATTGGTGTCAGTGGGAGAAATAGTGCCCCATCATTGGTGTCAGTGGGAGGAATAGTGCCCCATCATTAGTATCAGTGTTGGGAGGAATAGTGCCCCATCGTTGGTGTCCGTGTGGGGGGGGGGGGGGAATAGTGCCCCGTCAGTGGGGGAAGGGGATAGTGTCCCAACATTGGTGTCAGTGGAAGGAATAGTGTCCCATCATTGGTGTCAGTGGGGGGAGGAATAGTGCCCCATCGTTGGTATCAATGTGGAGGGGGAATAGTGCCCCATCGTTGGTGTCAGTGTGGGGGGGGATAGTGCCCCGTCATTGGTGTCAGTGGGGGAAGGGGATAGTGTCCCAACATTGGTGTTAGTGGGAGGAATAGTGCCCCATCTTTGGTGTCAGTGGGAGGAATAGTACGTCATTGGTGTCAGTGGGGGGTAATAGTGCCCCATCATTGGTGTCAGTGGGAGGAATAGTATCCCCTCATTGGTGTGAGTGGGGGGAAGGAAGAGTGTTCCATCGTTGGTGTCAGTGGGGGGGTGGAATAGTGCCCCATTGTTGGTATCAGTGGGGGGAGGAATAGTGCCCCATCGTTGGTGTCAGTGAGGGGAGGAATAGTGCCCCATCATTGGTGTCAGTGGGAGGAATAATGCCCCATCATTGGTGTCAGTGGGAGGAATAATGCCCCATCATTAGTATCAGTGACACCAATGATGGGGCACTATTCCTCCCACTGACACCAATGACACTTAACTTGCTGACCCCTGCTCCAGCATGGTGGTACTGCAGCCAGCATATCTGGTTGCAGCAGCACCATCAGCATGGCGCACTTACCTGTCAGCTGTCCTTCACTCCGGCCTCTCCCTCACTCGATGTTCGCAGGGCCACTCGGCTCCGCCTCCTCGCAGGTGATTGGCCATCTGTGTGCCTTTCCTGAGCCACAGTTCTGGCACCCAATCACCGGTGAGGAGGCGGAGCCGAGTGGCAGGAGTGAGGCAGTGGCCGGAGTGAGCTTCCTGGACTGGATCGTCGTGGGACTGGGACCGGAGCCAGGTAAGGTGCAGTAGCCCCCTGCCCACCCCTGTACTTAGTGTCCCTTCCTCGCGGATAATACGCCCCTGCCGGCGGGTTGGATAAATGGCCTCGGCAGGCTGCATTTGGCCCACGGACCATAGTTTGAGGACCCCTGTGCTAAGGTGTTCTGGTTGCTTTCAAGAGTAGGCCACACATTTTAACAACCGCTCCTGTATTTCCCACAATCAGCCACAGGAGGGACCATGCTATCCATTTCTTGTCTAAGACATAACTAATTATCACATTCTCAAATGCAGTTGTGAAGTTTCATACATTCCTTTCTTCTGTAATCCGACGTTACCGAAGTTAAAAGTAGAGGCACGTGAAATGGCTTCCTAAGTGTCGAGGATTTAGGTTGTATGCCTTGTGTCTAGGTTGTTTCTGACTTTTGTGAACTTCAAACTGATTTTAAACAATTACAAAAAATATTCACCAGTTAGTATAAGCTGCCATTACACCAGAGTCGGGACCATATCGAGTAAGTGCCACATGACTCTGCGTAAATAAAGGAATAAGTCGCTTTAAGTGTAAACTTTTTATTTGTCCCAAGGCTTTTTATCAATACAGGCAAGCTTGGCTTTTGCCTACAGCAGCAGTAGAACAATTGACTACTATTGCTCATTCACACCATAGCACAGTGCGCTGCAGCCTATGCATTTTCATGACTTGAGGGGCATTATGTTTGTAGCCCAATTCAAAATGAATGGGCTGCAGCACACCTCCACGGCCATTTTTTAAGCCAAATGCACAGAGCCTTTCTATCTGTGTGTTGCGGTGCACTTCATTGCAGGTGCATTGCAATGCATAGTGCATGGGGTGTAATTATTATTATTATACAGTATTTATAAAGCGCCAATGGTTCGCTCAGCGCTGTACATTACAAAAAGGGACAGACCATGTGACAGAAGAATACCAATACGATGCAAAACATGAGGGGATTGAGGGCTCTGCTCTTTCGAGCTTAAAATCTAGGAGGGAGGGGATAGTGGTACAGGAGGAGATAGCTGTGGGGGATGGATTCGTAGGAAGAGTGGAGGAGGTCAGCAGGTTAGCAGGGGGTGGGGTAGGCTTCCCAGAAGAGATGGGTTTTCAGGGTGCGCCTAAAGGAGAGGAGAGTAGGTGATAATCTGATGGGTTGGGGCAGGGAGTTCCAGAGGATGGGTGACACCCTGGAGAAGTCCTGGAGGTGGGCATGGGAGGAGGAGACCAGGGAACTAGAGAGAAGGAGGTCTTGTGAGGAACGGAGTGTGCGTGCTGGGCAGTACTTGGATATTAGGTCAGTGATGTAGTTCGGAGCAGTATGGTGGACAGCTTTGTACGTCACTGTTAGGATTTTGAATTTGATCCATTGCACAATCGGAAGCCAGTGGAGGGATTGGCAGAGGGGGGTGGCGGAGATGGAGCGGTTGGAAAGGTGAATGAGTCTGGCAGCCGTATTCAGGATCGACTGAAGCGGGGATACCCAGCGGCGAGGCAGGCCAGTGAGGAGGGAGTTGCAGTTGTCGAGTCGTGATATGATGAGGGAGTGGATGAGCTGTTTAGTGTTTAACTTTACATTGCAATGCCCCATATTGTACTGTACATCCACAGTGCATTACTGTATGTTGCCGTAATTTGAGGTTCTAACATGGGTCATGGAATGTTGTATTGTGTATTCTGGTGTGAACATACCTTGGCAAGTCAACTACGTTTATGGGGAAGAAGGGGGTGGGGAGAGTTCGTGTTTGTGTCATTTTAGGGCTTACCAAGGAACAAGATGTAACAGCTCAAAGCGCTGCCTTATACAATTGATGTACATCCAGTGTCTAAACCGTATCAACAGTACAAAATAAAGTTCATATAATTGTACAGACTATAGTGAAGCTGTGCAATGTTCTTCCAAACCGCCAAAATCAGTATGCTGTGTTCCCCTCGTCTGTTCCCACACTCACCGACAGGTGTGGACTCTTACATATACAGTAAAGAGTCAATTGTGCCTGTGCTATAGATCTTTTGGGATTAATGGAACTTGCATTCCTATTGGTCAATTGCTCCTCCACTGCATTGCCAGGAACCAGAAGGCTGGTGTATTCTCACATGAAAGAAGGAATGGCAAGTGGGACCCACATAGTGTATTTCCCTTTTATTGTATTTTAATGTTTATGCAATAAAAACGGAATTAAGCTATAATGAGCACACTGTCAGGGGTATGCTAAACACATGGCATTCTCTTGTCGGGGACATGCCCACTGTATTGGGCCCACAAAACATTTTTTGTCCAAACCCGTCACATTTTTTTGCATGTATGTTTGCATAAACATATAAGAGGTTACATGTACAGTTTACAGATTTTGTTTAAAGTAATATTTAATTAGACTAAAGATTGGTTCTCCAATCTCGGGTAGAATCAACTATGTTGGCTTTTCTTTGCCAAATGCTGTTTTCCCACTGATAAAAGTCGTCATAGGAGGTGCCATCCTAATCTCCTCCACAGGCATAAACATGCATAAATGAACATGCTTAACAAATGTTATCTAAAAACAAGAGCCATGTGCATTCTTTCTTGAAAATTGAAAGTGTCCTTTGTGTATGTGTTCCTGTTTTGTGAAGGATTCAAGCATAAAACACTTCTTTCACTTTGCCTCTGTGCAGGAAGTTCCTGTAATAAAGACCAGCCCCTGCTGTTCTGACTTTATGTACACAGTGACTGGTCATCTTTCCACCTGTTTGCAGTTTCTGTAGGTAGCCTGTAATGTCTGGGTCTCACCCATACCTCTGCTTTCTGCATAGGCTAAGTAAAGGTGTTATCACTACTTTTACGAGGCAAAATCAGTAAAGCGTCTACAGCACTAGGCGACCGCATACATCTTTTATGGTGCTGTCCCAAGCTCCATCGCTATTGGTCAGACATTGTTACTACTATTAATACTGTTTTTCAAATTACCGTTCCTGTTAAACCTACTAGATGTATACTGGGTATCCTTGATGTCCTTCCAGTCACTGAGCTTCAGAAGGCATCTATTAATAGGGCACTGTTTCGAGCATAGAGGATGCCCAGGAAAATTCAACAAACTCTGGGGGAACTGGCAGGCAGTCACAGGCTTTGCACCTCTCGACCTAGTGGTGGATAGAATTTGGGGCTGAAATAATGCCTTCTTTTTGGAAATGCCATAACTTTTATCTTGCGTGGTCATGTTCGTATTACTAATGTACTCCTCTTCTACTACCCATATCTCTTGCTGGCTTGCTCCTTCATGGTTTGTGTATTTTGGGGGTGAATATTGCTCTCTGGATTTGTTATATTTCATGTATCTTTTGAGTTCTTTGGAACACCATTACTGCTATGTGTACAGGTTGTATGTGCTTTGTTTATTGGTTTATTCAATAAAGTTAATTTCTGGTGTAAAAAAAAAGCATCAGTAAAGCAATGCAGTTCCAATTTGCAAAAGATGCACATTTCCATGAATTGTATCCCTTTAGGGATCCTGCAAGTATATAAACGTATGTGATGATTTATCAGAAATGCGCTCAGCTCCTAAGTCCTGTTGTAGGCACTGCATTTATGTGTTGTCAGCCCTCCCAGCTGTCTTTTGATAAACTAAAATGGTTCAAAAGGCAGGTTTTTTACTTTAATGCATTCTATGCATTAAGGTGAAAAAATGTCTGCATGCAGCTTCCCTCTAAGCGCCCCCCTCCCCCCTTTGTATTTATCTGAGTCCGATCTTGATCCAACAAGAGCAGAATCCATTGGCTCCTGCTGCTTTCAATCACAGCCTATAAGGAGGGAGCAGGGAGCTGGACTATGAACACAGAGCTGGCTCGGGAGCGAGCACACAAAAATGCCCATATAGCAAGCGGCTTGCTCTGGGGGCTTTCGCCTGCTCCTACGCTCACATCTCTACAACATGAAAGCTAATCATTTTACTAGGAGAATTAACTAGCCTTTCTGATAACACTGGCAGTGCTCAGAGCACAGAGGAAAACTCTGAATTTCTGCCAAAGCCCTTTTTTTTTTCTTTTTTTTGTCAAACAAAACAAACCAAATGCTTTGTTTTGTATATGTAACAGGCCAAAAGGAAGAAACAAGGGGGGAAATTTATTGAACAAATTAGCAACACAATTGCAAATGAGGCTCAGTCTCCTTTAGCAAAGCCTCTGTGACGGGTTTACAGACCTGAGCAGCCTGGACAACCAAGTGCAACAGTTTTGCATAGTTCAAAGACAGATTTATTACTGAAGATGTGAAAGATTTCCACACACATTTCCACACTGTTTCTAAACAGATGTATAATTAAAAAGTGGTCAGGGTCAGATTTAACACAGTCACAAGTGCTACTTCAGAGCAGCCAAAGGAGGAATTT